TCGGAATCTTTACATGTAATAAAGGTCAAATTTCTTCATTGTAATGTATATTATTTCATTAATAAAATGTGCTCAACGTAACAGATTACATATATCCACAATATGGTGTTGGCATAAATTAGTTCGTGAAAAGGGTTTAAAAAAGTATCCGACCACCCCGTAATTTTATCATATAAAGCACTTAATAAAGTTGACAAAATGCAAATTTTAAGGCTTTTCTCAAATTTTAACCATATATAATTCAAGGTAGCTTTGAAGGTTTTTACTAAGCTCAAAGTTTTCATAAAAATCACGGGATTTTTTGTCTAATTTAAAAATTTTCATCCTATATTGTAAACTCGACGAGACTAAGTTTATAATGCAAATTAACCTTTTAAACCATGTTTACTTAATGCACCAGTCCCGGTTTGATTAACAAAATTTTGAACTGCATAAGGCGTAACATTAAAATGATCATCAGGTGGTCGGATATTTATATATATACTATCATCATCATCATCATTTAAAATTAAATCGGAAAAATTTTTTTCCCAAAATTTTTCTCACCACGGCGCAGCTCACAAAAAAAAGAATTAAAAGCGCCATCTTTAAACTTCTATTTAACGCACTTTTTTCATAAACTCAAATTTTGGCTGGATTAATCCACCAACAACTTTGCATTTAAAGACTTGTCATATAGACTTTTACACAATTGACTTCTTGACTACTCAAGAAGCATCTACAAAAAAAAATCCTCATATGTTGGATTGGGCACATCTACCACACTCCAAAAGGTCGCTACCGAGTATTTAATTCAGTGTTGTCAGCGGACGCGTACATGAACACGGACTGTCCGAGACATTTAAGAAAATGAGCGGACACGTCCGCGTGACAAATTGTTACGCGGACATTTTTGGACAGTGTCCATTGGGCATTGTTCAGGACATGTCCATGTCCGCTCAGTATTAGGCGAATATGTCCCATGTATAACACTGATTTAATTGGCACGTATATTATTACTCAAATAAAATAAAATAGCAAACAAAAAAAGTATTGTGCTGGTGCCTTTTATGGATGGAAAAAAAAACAAAATAAAAATGTCGAATTCTTTTTTCATTTCAAAAACAAGCAATTCTAGTTACACGGTTATTGTTTTTTGTGTAACCAAAAATCAATATAAATAATAATAATAATGGAAATTGTCATTTGCTTATTATTATTATCATTTTGATAAAATTATTTCCTACGAAACTAAAACCAAAAATTACCATCCCTAACCAACTGAGAAGCTACCAAGCCAACCGAAGCCCCTCTTTGACCCATTTTCGCTCTTGCAAGTTTAAACTAATCAAACAGCCGGGCAGTATCAATCTCGAAAGCAAATTGTCAGTTTTGAAATTTGTCCTATAGTAATAATAATAATAATAATAATAATAATAATACGATGTCCAAGTTTAAACCAACAGAAATAGACAAAGAAATAATTAGAAATGCCAATATTCGCGGCAAAATTAAGAATGTCATTCATTTTTCCTACGATAAAAAACCTTACGCGATAGTTATTAATAAAGTTGCTCGCTTATATGCAATTAGGTTAATCAATTATGAAGACGAAGGTGAATATGGAGTAGAAATATTAGCGGTTAAAAGATTTCCAAACTTGGTGGAGTTTTATCGAACAAAGGAAGATGTTGAGAATAAAGCCAAAGAAATTCAAGATAATAATAACCGAGAGATATACGAATGCAAATACAAATTTGAAACGTACGAGGATGATATGGAAAATAACATATTAATAATTGGAAGGACAGGCAGTGGCAAATCTTCTTTGGCTAATGTAATCAGCAATGCTAATGAATTCGGAGAAAGCAGTGGCTCGATTAGCAAAACTAAAAATTTCCAAATCAAAGATTTTGAATGGAAAAAAAGTGAATATCGAGTGATTGATACTATCGGACTTGGTGATACTAATTTATCACCCAAGAAAGTCATAATCAAATTGGCTGAGGCTATTTACTCAATGAAAAGAGGGATAAAACAAGTATTTGTGGTAGTGGGAGGAAAATTTACCGAAGAAGAAATAGAACTTTTTGAACTGGCCGAGAAGATTTTTGAAAAAAAAATTATTAAATACACGACTATTGTGAGAAGCAAATTTGACTGTTTCGAGGAACCTGAAAAATGTAAAGAAGATATAGACGATTTAAAAAAAGAGAATAAAAAAATCGCTGATTTGATTAGTCGCTGCAATGGAATCATATATGTGAACAATCCTCCGTTAAGCGGCAATAAAAAAAGACGAGAAATTGACCAAGCAGACAGAAAAAAATCAAGAGAAGTATTAT